TCCTTTAGTCAGTTTCTCCACCCACAGCTCTGTCCTCCTTCTGAGCGCTTGGGAGCACTGTTGATAATCCCTGGCTGGACTCTGCTGGCCCCTAAACTTGGAATAATGATACCCATAACAGGCCTGTTGTTATTATTTTCTCCCTCAACAATAACAACAGCAGCAACCCCAGCTATTTTTTGAGCTCATATCATCACTGGCACATCCTGGGCAATGCTTTGTCTTGTGCATGCCCCGCATCAGCCTGCAAGGTACCATTGATGATGTACTCTGCTTTTACTGATACAAGCAAAGAGAAACCAAGAGGCATTAGTCACAGGGTCAGGCAGCAGGGGAGCGCCCTCTTAATCACCACCACCCATCTAGTCTTTCCACCTTTGTTTTTTTTTTTTCTTTTTCTTTTTTTGAGTCGGGGAGAGATGACTTAGGAATAATTTTATATGGCATGTCTAAGAGTTTAGATTTTGGCTGGGCGCGGTGGCTCAGGCCTGTAATCCCAGCACTTTGGGAGGCTGAGGCGGGCGAATCACGAGGTCAGGAGATCGAGACCACGGTGAAACCCCGTCTCTACTAAAAAAAATACAAAAAATTAGCCAGGCGAGGTGGCGGGCACCTGTAGTCCCAGCTACTCAGGAGGCTGAGGCAGGAGAATGGCGTGAACCCGGGAGGCGGAGCTTGCAGTGAGCGGAGATTGTGCCACTGCACTAGAGCCTGGGCAACAGAGTGAGACTCCAGCTCAAAAAAAAAAAAAGAGTTTAGATTTTATTTACAGGAGGCATGAACATGTTTTTTTTTTTGGTGGTTGTTGTTTATTTATTTATTTATTTATTTATTTATTTATTTATTTATTTCGAGACGGAGTCTCCGTCTGTCGCCCAGGCTGAAGTGCAGTGGCGTGATTTAGGCTCCCTGCAAGCTCTGCCTCCCGGGTTCACGCCATTCTCCTGCCTCAGCCTCCCGAGTAGCTGGGACTACTGGGACTACAGGTGCCCGCCACCACAGCCAGCTAATTTTTTTTAAATTAAAAAAATTTTTTTTTTTTGTATTTTTAATAGAGACGGGGTTTCACTGTATTAGCCAAGATGGTCTCGATCTCTTGACCTCGTGATCCGCCCGCCACAGCCTCCCAAAGTGCTGGAATTACAGGCGTGAGCCACCGTGCCTGGCCTATTTTTTATTTTTTATTTATTTTTTGGGGGACAGCGTCTCACTGTGTCACACAGGCTAGAATGTAATCATGTGATCTCAGCTCACTGCAACTCCTGCCTCCCATGTTCAAGCATTTTCCTGCCTCAGCCTCCCGAGTAGCTGGGATTACAGGCATGTGCCACCACACCCAGCTAATTGTGTATTTTTAGTAGAGACAGGGTTTCTCCATGTTGGCCACGCTGGTCTCGAACTCCCGACCTCAGGTGATCAGCCCATCTTGGCCTCCTAAAGTGCTGGGATTACAGGCGTGAGCCACCACGCCCAGTTTGAACACTTTTTAAATGGAGATTTTTAGAGGCTGAGGTGAGTGGATCCACTTTGTTCAGGAGTCCGAGACCAGCCTGGGCAATATGGTGAAACCCCGCCTCTACTAAAAATACAAAAATTAACCAGACATGGTGGCGAGCACCTGTAATCCCTGCTACTCGGGAGGCTGAGGCAGGAGAACTGCTTGAACCTGGGAGGCGGAGGTTACAGTGAGCTGAGATTACACCACTGGACTCCAGCCTGGGTGACAGAGCAAGACTCTGTCTCAAAAAAAAAGAACACAAAAACACAAAAACAAAACAAACAAACAAAAAACAAAACAACAACAGAAAAAGTTGGAGATGAGTTATGGAAGGAATTTATAAGGCAAGTTTAAGAGTTTAGACTTTATTTATGGAAGGCCCAGACATGTTTTAATGGATGCTTTTGAATCTGGGAAAGTGGTTGGGTCAGTATCTTCAGGCATGCATTGATATCCAAGGGCTGGTATTTGGCTGGAGGCAGAGGGAACATTGGGTTTGTTTGGGAGTATGTGTGCATCAGCACAAATGGAGGTAACTGAGCTAGGGTCACGGGCTGAGAAGAGGCCCATGGAGACGTTGGCATGGCCCTGTCCCATCTGTTCTTGGACCACTGACAAGAAGGGCTTACAGTCCAGAGTTGTTGTAGTAATCTATTTACTGACGTTGTCCATTTCATATCAATCGCTTGGTTTTCTTTCTATATCTGTCTTAGTTCAGTTTGTGTTGCTCTAAAGGAATAACTGGGGCTGGGCGCAGTGGCTCATGCCTGTAATCCCAGCACTTTGGGAGGCCGAGGTGGGCGGATCACGAGGTCAGGAGACCATCCTGGCTAACACGGTGAAACCCCATCTCTACTAAAAATACAGAAAATTGCCGGCGTGGTGACTCAAGCCTGTATCCCAGCACTTGGAGGCGAGACGGCGATCACGAGGTCAGGAGGTCGGACCATCCTGGCTAACCCGGTGAAACCCCGTCTCTACTAAAAAGTACAAAAAACCAGCCGGGCGAGGTGGCCGGCGCCTGTAGTCCCAGCTACTCGGGAGGCTGAGGCAGGAGAATGGCGTAAACCCGGGAGGCGGAGCTTGTAGTGAGCTGAGATCCGGCCACTGCACTCCAGCCTGGGCGACAGAGCGAGACTCCGTCTCAAAAAAAAAAAAAAAAAAAAAAAAAATACAGAAAAATTAGCCGGGTATGGTGGTGGGCACCTGTAGTCCCAGCTACTCGGGAGCCTAAGGCAAGAGAATGGCGCGAACCCAGGAGGCGGAGCTTGCAGTGAGCCGAGATCACGCCATTGGACTCCAGTCTGGGTGACAGAGAGAGACTCTGTCTCAAAAAAAAAAAAAAACCAAAAAAATTCTGCATATTGTTTTCCATAGAGGTTGTACCAATTTACATTTCCACCAATACTATATAAGTATTTGTCATGTGAGAGACTTGCTGTGGCTCAGACATATCAGGGAGAGACTTTGTGGGGAGTCGAAGTCTGGGGTCAGCACGTCAGGGTCTTGAGCCATTTAATTTTGGTGCAAATGTTCTTGTGACTTTTTTTTTTTTTTTTTGAGATGGAGTCTCAGTCTGTTGCCCAGTCTGGAGTGCAATGGTGCGATCTCAGCTCACTACAACTTCCACCTCCTGAGTTCAAGCAGTTCTCCCACCTCAGCCTCCCAAATCTCAGTAGCTGGGATTACATGCATCCACCACCACACCCAGCTAATTTTTTGTATTTTAGTAGAGATGGGATTTCACCATGTTGCCTGGGCTGGTCTCAAAATCCTGACCTCAAGTGATCTGCCTGCCTCAGCCTCCCAAAGTGCTAGGATTACAGGTGTGATCCACTGCACCTGGCCAATTTTTGTATTGTTTAACATTATTGTGAAATATATATTCACATATTATATATATATTCACATACTGCTTTGTAGCATTTCACTATGTTGTTTGGGCTGGCCTCAAACTCCTGACCTCAGGTGATCTACCTGCCTCAACCTCCCAAAGTGCTGGGATTACAGGCATGAGCCACCACGTCCAGCCATCACCTGAAGTTTCATTCACTCATGTGTCTGATGACTGTATGGGGAAGAATTGAACCACTGGCCCTCCTCTGGCATCTCCCTCCATCTCAGTGTAGTCTCTACACATGGTTTCTCTAGCATGGTGGCTTCAAGGGTAGCCAGTCTTCTTGCATGGTGGCCTAGGGCCTGACGTCTTGTCCTATGAGATGGAGAAAGGTGGAAGCCACAGTTCCTTTTATGACCTAACCTCAGAAGTCACACAGTATCATTTCTGCTTCATGCTGTTTATCAAAAGGGTACTGCATCATCTTTCCTTGTCTGCAAGGGCAAGGTCAACTCATGACTCCCATGTCCACATTTCAGTCCACAGGAAGAGGAAAGGGGGCAAGCTTTCCTTAAGTGGTTTTTGAAAGGACTGACCTGGAAGTAGTAGATATCATTTACATTCTTATCTCATTGGCCAGAGGAGGTCACAAGGCCACAGTGAGCTGCAGTGAAGGCTGGGAAATGTAGTCTTTCATTGGGTAAGCTGTGTGCCCAGCTGAAACTTGGGAGATACTATTTCTACAGGAAAAGGGACTGGGTGCAGTGGTTCATACCTGTAATCTCAACACTTTAGGCTGTGGTGGGAGGATCGCTTGAGGCTGCGAGCTTGCAACCAGCCTGGGTGACATAGTGAGACCCCTTCTTTACAAAAAATAAAAGAAAATTAACCAGGTGGGGTGGCAGGCATCTGTAGTCCCAGCTACTTGGGAGGCTGAGGCAGGAGGATCCTCTGAGCTCAGCTGATTGAGGCTGCAATGAGCTGTGATCGCACCACTGCACTCCAGCCTGGCAGCAGAGAGCAAGACCCTGCCTGTAAAATAAATAAGTAGAAAAAGTAAAAGAGAAGAAGGAGAATATATATGGAAGTTTAGTGGATAGTCTTTGCCACACTCATTGAATGAATGAATGAACCAATAACAGGTTGAGAAATTGATCTGTGGATGACCAACTGATGGTCAAGATCAGCTGAAAAGTGGCTAGGTGCAGTGGCTCACACCTGTAATCCCTTGCGAAGGCCAAGGCAGGTGGATCACCTGAGGTCAGGAGTTCAAGAGCAGCCTGGCCAACATGGTGAAACCCTGTTTCTACCACAAATATAAAAAATTAGCTGGGCATGATGGCGTGTGCCTGTAATCCCAGCTACTCAGGAGTCTGAGACAGGAGAATCACTTGAACCTGGGAGGTGGAGGTTGCGGTGAGCCGAGATGGCACCACTGCATTCCAGCCTGAGTAACATAGCAAGACTCCATCTAAAAAAAAAAAAAAAAAAAAAAAGAGGTCGGCTGAAAGGTTGACAGGTGAGTGATTGACAAATCCTGGGTTGATGAATTGCCTGAAATGCAGCAGGTAACCGACTGGCTGGTGACTGAGGGTCTGGACAGAGGGCAGCCTCCTCCGCCTCCTCTATCTGACAAGCTCCTCCCTATGACTGTCTCTGCTCCAGTTCACCAATATCCCCTTCTTCATCTTCGGGCCACTGATGATGCTCCTGATGCACCCCTATGCCCAGAAGCGCTCCCGCTACATCTACGTTTTCTGGGTCCTCTTCATGATCATAGGTAGGGAGGTGTGGTTCAGGTCTGTGATAGCCGGGAGGCAGTGGGGGTGCAGGAGGTGGCAGACCCCACTGACCACCTGCCCTTGTCGCTGCAGGTCTGTTCTCCATGTACTTCCACATGACACTCAGCTTCCTGGGCCAGCTGCTGGATGAGATTGCCATCCTGTGGCTCCTGGGCAGTGGCTATAGCATATGGATGCCCCGCTGCTACTTCCCCTCCTTCCTCGGGGGCAACAGGTGGGTCAGGGGCTGGCCATCTGGACTGGGTGGGGTCTGAGTCTTCAGGTGACTCTACCTGAGCTCACCTGAGTCCCCTGGGTCCCCACCCCTGACCCCTTTTGGGGCCCTTGGAATTCCTCCCCTGACCACTTCGGGTTCTCTCCTGACCCTGCCTGACTCACGTGGGCTTTTGGAGACCCCACTCCTGAGCTTACCTGGTTTTTTGGAATCCCTCCCCTGATCCTACCTGTACAACCTGGAACTTTCTTCAGACTCTGTTGCATCCAATAGGAGTTCCAGGACCTCATGTCTACACTTACCTCGCCCCAAGGGACTGCTCCCTGAGCCTCTCACCTGGGCCCCTGGCATCTTTCATCTGATCTTCTTAGACCCCTGGGTCCCTCTCTTGATCTAATTGATCCCCACACCCACACTTGACCTCTGTGAAATCCTCCTCCTCCTCCTCTTCTTCTTCTCCTCCTTTTCCTCCTCCCCCTCCTTCTCCTCCTCCTTCTTCTCCTCCTCCCCCTCCCCCTCCTTCTCCTCCTGCTGCTGCTTCTCCTCCTCCCCCTCCCCCTCCTTCTCCTCCTCCTTCTTCCTCCTCTTCTTTTTCTTTTCTTCTTCTTCTTTTTCTTCTTCTTCTCCTCCTCCTCCTCCCCCTCCCCCTCCTTCTCCTCCTCCTCCTTCTTTCTCCTCGTCTTCTTCTTTTCTTCTTCTTTTTCTTCTTCTTCTCCTCCTCCTCCCCCTCTCCCTCCTTCTCCTCCTCCTTCTTCTTCTCCTCCTCCCCTCCCCCTCCTTCTCCTCCTCCTCCTTCTTCTTTTTCTTCTTCCTTCCTCCTCCTTCTGCTTCTTCCTCCTCCTCCTCCTCCTTCTTCTTCTCCTCCTCCTCCTCCCCCTCTCCCTCCTTCTCCTCCTCCTTCTTCTTCTTCTCCTCCTCCCCCTCCCCCTCCTCCTCCTTCTCCTCCTCCTCCTCCTTCTTTTTCTTCTTCCTTCCTCCTCCTTCTGCTTCTTCCTCCTCCTCCTCCTCCTTCTTCTTCTCCTCCTCCTCCTCCTTCCTCTCCCCCTCCCCTCCTTCTCCTCCTCCTCCTTCTTCTCCTCCTCCCCCTCCCCCTCCTCCTCCTCGTTCTTCTCCTCCTTTTTCTTCTCTTCCTCCCCCTCCCCCTCCTCCTCCTCCTTCTTCTTCTCCTCCTTTTTCTTCTCCTCCTCCCCCTCCCCCTCCTCCTCCTTCTCCTCCTCCTCCTCCTTCTTTTTCTTCTTCCTTCCTCCTCCTTCTGCTTCTTCCTCCTCCTCCTCCTTCTTCTTCTTCTCCTCCTCCTCCTTCCTCTCCCCCTCCCCTCCTTCTCCTCCTTCTCCTTCTTCTCCTCCTCCCCCTCCCCCTCCTCCTCCTCGTTCTTCTCCTCCTTTTTCTTCTCCTCCTCCCCCTCCCCCTCCTCCTCCTCCTTCTTCTTCTCCTCCTTTTTCTTCTCCTCCTCCCCCCCTCCCCCTCCTCCTCCTCCTTTTCTTCTCCTCCTCCCCTCCCCTCCTCCTCCTCCTTCTTCTTCTCCTCCCTTTTCTTCTCCTTCCTCCCCCTCCCCCTCCTCCTCCTCCTTCTCCTCCTCCTTTTTCTTCTCCTCCTCCCCCTCCTCCTCCTCCTCTTCTTCTCCTCCTTTTTCTTCTCCTCCTCCCCCTCCCCCTCCTCCTCCTCCTCGTTCTTCTCCTCCTTTTTCTTCTCCTCCTCCCCCTCCTCCTCCTCCTTCTTCTTCTCCTCCTTTTTCTTCTCCTCCTCCCCCTCCCCCTCCTCCTCCTCCTTCTTCTCCTCCTCCTTTTTCTTCTCCTCCTCCCCCTCCCCCTTCTCCTCCTCCTCCTTCTCCTCCTTCTCCTTCTTCCTCCTCTTCTTCTTTTTTTCTTCTCCTTCTTTTTCTTCTTCTCCTTCTCCTCCTCCCCCTCGTCCTCCTTCTCCTCCTCCTTCTTCTTCTTCTCCCCCTCCCCTTCCACCTCCTTCTCCTCCTCCTCCTTCTTCTTCTCCTCCTCCTCCTTCTTTTTCTTTTTCCTTCCTCCTCCTTCTGCTTCTTCCTCCTCCTCCTCCCTCTCCCCCTCCCCTCCTTCTCCTCCTCCTTCTTCTCCTCCTCCTTTTTTTCTTCCTTCTTTTTCTTCTTCCTCTTCTTCCTTCTTTCTTCCTCCTCCTGCTCCTCCTCCTTCTTCTCCTCCTCCTCCTTCTTTTTCTTCTTCCTTCTTTCTTTTTCTTCTTCCTTCCTTCCTCCTTTTCCTCCCTCTTCTCCTTCTCCTCCTCCTTCTTCTTCTCCTCCTCCTTCTTTTTTTACTTCTTCCTTCTTTCTTCTTCTTCTTCTTCCCCTTCTTCTTCCCCTTCTCCTTCCCCTTCTCCTTCCCCTTCTCCTTCCCTTTCTCCTTCCTCTCCTTCTCCTTCTCCTTCTTCCTCTTCTTCACCTTCTTCTTCCTTCCCCTTCTTCTTCTTCCCCTTCTTCTCCTTCTTCTTCCTCTTCTTCCTCTTCCTCCTCTTCTTCTTCTTCTACCTGTTTTCTTTTCTTTCTTTTTTTTTTGAGATGAGATCTCACTCTGTCTCCCAGGCTGGAGTGCAGTGGCACAACCTTAGTTCACTGCAACCTCCAATTACCAGGCTCAAGCGATGCCTGCCTCAGCCTCTTTAGTAGCTGACATTACAGGCACATGCTGCCACACCCAGCTAATTTTTTTTGTATTTTTGGTAGAGACAGAGTTTTGTTATGTTGCCCAGGCTGGTCTCGAACTCCTGAGCTCAAGCGATCCTCCTGCTTCAGCCTCCAAAAGTGCTGGGATTACAGTCATGAGCCACTGTGCCTGGCTAGGACCCTTTTTTAATTGTTGTTTTTGAGACAGAATCTCCCTCTGTCACCCAGGCTGGAGTGCCGTGGCATGATCTTGGCCCACTGAAACCTCTGCCTCCTGAGTTCAAGCGACTCTTGTGTCTCAGCCTCCTGAGTAGCTGGGATTACAGGCATCTGCCACCACACCTGGCTAAATTTTGTATTTTTAATAGAAATGGGGTTTCACCATGTTGGCCAGGCTGGTCTCGAACTCCTAACCTCAGGTGATCCTCCCACCTCAGCCTCCCAAAGTGCTGGGATTACAGACATGAGCCACTGTGCCCTGCCTGGCTAGGACCCTTTGCTGAGCCTATTTGGGCCCCCCAGAATCCTTTCCTTTCCTCACCCACCTGGGCCACGAGATCTCCAAGTGACCTTGCCTACAACCCCACGACGTTCCTTCCCACCTACAGCTGAGGCCCTTCCTCCCCAGGTCCCAGTTCATCCGCCTGGTCTTCGTCACCACCGTGGTCAGCACCCCCCTGTCCTTCCTGCGGCCCACGGTCAACGCCTACGTCCTCAACAGCATTGCCCTACACATTGTCTACATCGTGTGCCAGGAGTACAGGAAGTGAGTGAACACTGCAGGTGCCTGGGCAGGGGGCTGCCATCCCCCTCCTGGCACCCCTGACTCCAGGCTCACGGAGGGGACGTCCCTTCCCCAAGATCATCCACTAACAAGTGGCAGGGCCAGAATTTGAACTTGACTGACTGCAGAGCTTGTCTTTTTTTTTTTCTTGAGATGGAGCCTCGCTCTGTCGCCCAGGCTGGAGTGCAGGGGTGTGATCTTGGCTCACTGCAACCTCTACCTCCTGGGCTCAAGCGATCCTCCCACTCTAGCCTCCTAAGTAGCTGGGATTAGAGGCGTATGCCATCACGCCAGGATAACTTTTATATTTATTTATTTATTTTTTTGTAGAAACAGGATTTTGTCATGTTGCCCAAGCTGGTCTTGAACTCCTGGGCTCAAGCGATCCACCCACCTCAGCCTTCCAAAGTGCTGGGATTACAGGAGTGAGTCACTGCATCCACCCTACATTATATTTATTTATTTATTTATTTTTATTTATTTATTTTTATTTTTTATTTTTTATTTTTTTTTTTGAGACGGAGTCTTGCTCTGTGCCCCAGGCTGGAGTGCAGTGGCCGGATCTCAGCTCACTGCAAGCTCCGCCTCCCCGGGTTCACGCCATTCTCCTGCCTCAGCCTCCCGAGTAGCTGGGACTACAGGCGCCCGCCACCTCGCCCGGCTAATTTTCTTGTATTTTTAGTAGAGACGGGGTTTCACCGTGTTAGCCAGGATGGTCTCGATCTCCTGACCTCGTGATCCGCCCGTCTCGGCCTCCCAAAGTGCTGGGATTACAGGCTTGAGCCACCGCGCCCGGCCTATTTATTTATTTTTATTTATTTATTTATTTATTTTTTGAGACAGAGTCTTGTTCTGTCTTCCAGGCTGGAGTGCAGTGTTGCAATCTCAGCTCACTGCAACCTCCGCCTCCCAGGTTCAAGCAATTATCCTGCCTCAGCCTCCCGAGCAGCTGGGATGACAGGTGCATGCCACCGTGCCTGGCTAATTTTTGGTTTTTTAGGGGTCTTGCTACTTTGCCCAGGCTGGTTGTAAACTCCAGGGCTCAAGCGATCCTCCCAACCTCAGCCTCCCAAAGTGCTGGGATTACAGGCATGAGCTACTTTGCCTGGCTTGAAGGACATTTGAAATTGCACGTGGTGTGCTGGCAATGCTCAGTGTTAGTTCTAAGCACGAGATTGGGCCCCCCCTGCTCGCACCCTCAATTCCTGCTCTTGCCCTTCTCCCAGCTTCTGAGCCTCATCACTGTGGAAGGAGGAATTTCCCATCAGCCCCCTCAGGTGCTACTCTCTAATCCTCCTCTCCCCTCTCTAGGACCAGCAATAAGGAGCTTCGGCACCTGATTGAGGTCTCCGTGGTTTTATGGGCTATTGCTCTGACCAGCTGGATCAGTGACCGTCTGCTCTGCAACTTCTGGCAGAGGATTCATTTCTTCTATCTGCACAGCATCTGGTAAGCGCGTGCTCTGAGGCTGTGAGGGGCCCAGAGTCAGAGAATCTTAGATGCCAGAGCTCGGAGTAGGAGCCTGGGGGCTGGGGGTCGAGGAGCAGAGGGAGGAGAGCCAGATACTGGGTCCTGGCAGTAGGGGAGGGCTGCAGTCAGAAGGCCAGACCCAGAAGGTCCCTTTGGATGGTCAGGATCCATGAAAGGCCGGGCGCCGTGGCTCATGCCTGTAATCCCAGCACTTTGGGAGGCAGAGGCGGGTGGATCACGACGTCAGGAGTTCCAGACCAGCCTGACCAATATGGTGAAACCCCGTCTCTACTAAAAATACAAAAATTAGCTGGGTGTGGTGAGGCGTGCCTGTAGTCCCAGCTACTCAGGAGGCTGAGGCAGGAGAATGGCGTGAACCCGGGAGGCGGTGCTTGCAGTGAACGGAGATCCTGCCACTGCACTCCAGCCTGGGAGACAGAAGCAGACTTCGCCTCAAAAAAAAAAAAAAAAAAAAAAAAGCCTGGGTGTGGTGGCTCACGACTGTAATCTCAGCACTTTGGGAGGCCGAGGCAGGCAGATCACGCGGTCAGGAGATCGAGACCATCCTGATTAACACAGTGAAACCCCATCTCTACTAAAAATAATACAAAAAATTAGCTGTGCATGGTGGCAGGCGCCTGTAGTCCCAGCTACTCGGGAGGCTGAGGCAGGAGAATGGCGTGAACCCGGGAGGTGGAGCTTGCAGTAAGCAGAGACCGTGTGCCACTGCAGTCCAGCCTGGGTGACAGAGCGAGACTCCGTTTCAGAAAAAAAAAAGATCCATGAGAAATAAAAAGAGGGCCAGTGTGAGGCTATGGGCATCTTATGCCGTCACCACCTTCGCTCTGCATTCCACAGGCACGTGCTCATCAGCATCACCTTCCCTTATGGTATGGTCACCATGGCCTTGGTGGATGCCAACTATGAGATGCCAGGAGAAACCCTCAAAGTCCGCTACTGGCCTCGGGACAATTGGCCCGTGGGGCTGCCCTATGTGGAAATCCGGGGTGATGACAAGAACTGCTGAGACCTGCCAGCCTCTTGACTATCCAACCACCACCCTTCAACTTGCCTGTGTCTTGAGAAGAGAGCCCCGGTCAGGACTTGCGCCTGAGGGACACTCATGGTTCCTTCCTCTGTTTCCCCTTCCGTGTCCTCCTTGTCCTGCACTGCCCTGCCTTGAGGCCGAGGATGGACTTTGTGACATCTCTGAGCAGCAGCCTGGTGACTGTGGGGGGCTGTCTCGCGCATCTCCCTTCCATGATCCCCCACACCCTCTTTCATTTCCTCCTCTGTGTCCACAGCCTCCCAGTGACCATTGTCACACGAGCTAGTGGGGCTGAGTCACCAGGTACTGGGGTGACTGAAGGATGTGGCATCTAAATATTAGCTTCCAGGCCTGGCGTGGTGACTCACGCCTGTAATCCCAGCACTTTGGGAGGCCAAGGAGGGCGGATCACCTGAGGTCAGAAGTTCAAGACCAGCCTGGCCAACATGGCAAAACCCCATCTCTACTAAAAATACAAAAATTACCCGGGCGTGGTGGTGCACGTCTGTAATCCCAGCTACTTGGGAGGCTGAGGCAGGAGAATCGCTTGAATCCAGGAGATGGAGGTTGCAGTGAGCTGAGATTGCGCCACTGCACTCCAGCCTGGGCGACAAGAGCGAGACTCCATCTCAAAAAATAATAAATAAATAAATATTAGCTTCTAAATATTGGTGGTCACTACCAGACTCCCTCATCTGTCTTTGACCATGGCAATGTCCCTGGTTCTTGTGGGGCACCCCAGTGAATGAACATGACTTCCAGTCACCTCATTCTACATCCGCACATACATGTGGAGACGTTGCACGCAGACCCACCCACCTCCTCCCATGTACTTGTGAGGTCCTCAGGTTCACAGCTGAGGAAAGCAGAGTCCCAGACTGGGCAATCTGTGTGCTTTGGGGGCATGTGGACATGAGAGACGAGTGAGATGGTCTTTAAAGCAGTGGTGGGATGGTGGGGAAGGGCAGTTTTCATGATGGTTAAGAGCACAGGGCTTCGAGTCAGGCAGACCTAAGTTAGAATTCCTGCTCCACCATTTTCTAGTTGTACAATCTTGGGGAAGTGATTTTTCCTTCCTTGGAAGCTCAAGGACATTGTCTGTAAAATAAACATAATATTCCTTGTCTTGTGGGGGTTTTTGTGTGGTTAAAACGAATGAATGTGTGTGAAGTGCTTAGCATAGAGTTTGACAAACATCTAGCCACCCACTCATCTTTAATTCATCTGCCCCATAATTTATTCATCCATCCATCCATTCATTCTTTCATTCATCTACCGTTGATTTATTCATTCATCCATCCACCCACCCTTTAATTCATCTACCCATTAATTTATCCATCTATCCATTCATCATCTACCCATCCTTTGATTCATCCATCCATTAATTTATCCATCTATCCATCCACCTACCCATCTTTTAATTTATTTACCCATTAGTTTATCCATCTACCTGTCTTTTAATTCATGCACACATTAATTTCTCTATCCTTCCATCCATCCGTTAATTCACCCATCCATTACTTTATCCATTCATCCAACCACCATTAATTTATCCATCTATCCATCTATCCATCCATCCATCCATCCATTCATCTATTGAACTCTCCATTGAACTATCCATCTATCCATCCTTTAATTTGCCCATCCAATAATTTATCCAACCATTCTTTCACCTATTATCTATCCTTTAATCCACCTATTCATTCATTAATGTATCTATCCATCCATTGAATCATCCATCTAACTATGCATTCTTTCATCCATCCATTATCAATTATTCATCATCATCCATCATTTATTATTCTTTCATTCCTCTATTAAGCCATTTATCCATTCATTTACCCAATTATTTATCCATCACCTTACCCTGCCTCCCTCTGTCCATCCATCCATTCGCATACATTTAGCCATTCATTTCTCCATTCGTTTATCCATCCAAATCATGCAACCATGCTTTTGTTCATCTACTTTTCAACTGCTCATTCATTCACTCATTCGACACACACACGTGTATTGGGATCCTACTATATATCAGACGCTAGCCTCTGGGGATCCAAGACAACAAAGACATGCAATGTCCTTGCCCTAATGAAGAATATAGATATTAAACAAATACAAACACACACACACAAAGCACTTCCAGACACTGATGGGTGCTAAAACAAACACAATAATATTCTGGAAGATGATGGTTGTGGGAGCAGTACTATCACATGGGTGGTTCAGGGAGTGCATTTTGCAGTTGAGCCCTCAATGACAAGAGGAAACAAACGATATCAAAAGCCAGGGCAAGGCCATTTTGGGAGGCTGGGACAGGAGGACGCTTGAGCCCAGGAGTTCAAGGCCAGCATGGGCAACACAGCAAAACCCCTTCTCTATGAAAAATTTTAAAAAAATTAGCTGGGTGTGGTGGCATGAGCCTGTAGTCCTAGCTACTTGGGAGGCTGAGGTGGAGGATGGCTTGAGTCCAGAAAGTGGAGGTTGTGCCACTGCATTCCAACCTGGACACATAGTAAGAGGTTCTTAATCTGGGGGCCCTGGATGGGTTTCAGCTTCCACAGACCACTTGACATTGTGTGCAAAAGATGGGTGTTTGGGCATACAATCTAGGCACCTGGAGTGCATCACTTTAGATAGATGAGAATACTCTCATTTTATAGATGTGGCTCAGAGAGGGCAAGTCACTTGCCTAAGGCCACACAGTGTGTACTTGAACCCAGTCTGTCCTCCAAAGCTCCTTGCACTGCAGTGAGTCAGTAGTGGACTTGAACCTAGATCCCTGGTCATCTGCTTCTGGGTCCTTCTTCCTTTCTTGTCCTAGAAACCAGAGGTTTTTTCACTTGTGGCTCCAGGATGGATCATGGTGGTAGGAAGAGGTGGAATTGGGGATTTCTATAAACTTGTAAAATCATCTACGAAATGCTGTGTGTCTTGGTGTATTTGGGGGAGAGGAGCTGTGATTCCATGACATCCCCTAAAGAGGTGTTTGACCACCCAAAGAGTTGAGAACCTCAGTTCAAAATCTTCCTGGGGAGGGTGGCTGAGCACGGTGGCTCACGCCTGTAATCCCAGCACTTTGGGAGGCTGAGACAGGCAGATCACGAGGTCAGGAGATCGAGACCATCCTGGCTAACATGGTGAAACCCCGTCTCTACTAAAAATACAAAAAAAAAAAAAAAAATTAGCTGGACGTGGTGGTGGGTGTCTGTAGTCCCAGCTACTTGGGAGGCTGAAGCGGGAGAATGGCGTGAACCTGGGAGGCAGAGCTTGCAGTGAGCCAAGATTGTGCCACTGCACTCCAGCCTGGGTAACAGAGCAAGACTCCGTCTCAAAAAACAAAACAAAACAAAACAAGACAAAACAAATCAACAAACAAAATCTTCTGAGGGAGGAGGATAGAGAAGCGCCTGCCTCCTCCCCTGACCCCATGGTTCTTCCTCTTCTTTGCCAGTTTATGTGGCCCGAGTGTAATATCATGTAAAAAAAAAATCCCACTCGGCTGGGCGCGGTGGCTCAAGCCTATAATCCCAGCACTTTGGGAGGCCGAGACGGGCGGATCACGAGGTCAGGAGATCGAGACCATCCTGGCTAACATGGTGAAACCCCGTCTCTACTAAAAAATACAAAAAAGTAGCCGGGCGAGGCGGCGGGCGCCTGTAGTCCCAGCTACTCGGGAGGCTGAGGCAGGAGAATGGCGTGAACCCGGGAGGCGGAGCTTGCAGTGAGCTGAGATCCGGCCACTGCACTCCAGCCTGGGCGACAGAGTGAGACTCCGTCTCAAAAAAAAAAAAAAAAAAAGAAAGAAAAGAAAAAAATCCCACTCTATCCCCAGTATCTGTCCTCTGGCTCCGCTGGTCCCTCCTCACAGCCTCCTCCTGGGGCATAAAGGTAGCCGAAAAGCAGGAGGCCTGGGTAACCTCCGCCTCCCAGGTTCACGCCATTCTCCTGCTTCAGCCTCCTGAGTAGCTGGGATTATAGGCGCGCGCCACCACGCCTGGCTAATTTTTGTATTTTTAGTACAGACAGGGTTTCACCGTGTTAGCCAGGGTGGTCTCAAACGCCTGACCTTGTGATCCGTCCACCTCAGCCTCCCAAAGTGCTGGGATTACAGGCGTGAGCCACTGTGCCCGGACTCCAGGCTGTAATTCTGACAAGCTACATGACCCTTGTACACCCTAGTCTCCATCAGGAAGGTCTCTTGATGACAAAGGACAAAATATTCAACCCTAAGTGGCTGAAATCACAAATGGACAATCAGCATATATAGTTTTTTTTTTGACAGAGTCTCTGTCGCCTAGACTGGAGTGCAGTGGTGCAATCTTGGCTCACTGCAACCTCCACCTCCTGGGTTCAAGCGATTCTCATGCTTCAGCCCCCCAAGCAGCTGGGATGACAGACACCCACCACCATGTCTGGGTAATTTTTGTATTTTTAGTAGAGACGGGGTTTTACCATGTTGGCTAGGCTGGTCTTGAACTCCTGACCTCAGGTGGTCTGCTTTATCAGGAAGGTCTACTGGTGAAAAAGGACAAAATATTCAACCCAAACTGGCTGAAATCACAAATGGACAATCAGCAATATATACTTGTGTTTGTTTGTTTGAGACAGAGTCTTGCTCTGTCACCCAGGCTGGAGTGCAGTGGCACAATCTTGGCTCACTGACTCACTGCAACCTCCACCTTCTGGGTTCAAACAATTCTCTGGCCTCAGCCTCCCAAGTAGCTGGGATTGCAGGTGCACACAAGCATGCCTGGCTAATTTTTGTATTTTTAGTAGAGGTGGGTTTTCACCATGTTGCCCAGGCTGGTCTAGAACTCCTGAGCTCAGGTGATCTGCCCAACTCAGACTCTCAAAGTGCTGGGATTATACGCGTGAGCGACTGTGCCCGGCCAGCATATATGCTTTTGAAGTTCAGACCCAGGCTGCAGACCTGGCTGGGTCCAGGCTTCAAATGATGTCACCAGGGCCAGGCTCTCCTTATCACTCTGACTGGCTTCACGGGTAGGAGCGGCCACCAGGAGGGCTAGGCTGCCTGCCTTCCTTCTAAGTTTAAAAGTGAACTCAAAACTCCAAGCCCAGGCTGGGTATGGTGGCTCATGCCTGTAATCCCAGTGTTTGGGAGACCAAGGTGGGAGGATTTTTTGAGACCAGCCTGGGCAACATAGTGAGACCCTGTCTCTACAAACAAATTAAGAATCAGCCAAGCATGGTGGTGTGCACCTGTGGTCTTAACTACTTGGGAGGCTGAGGCAGGAGGATCGCTTCATGAGCCAGGGAGCTGGAGACTGCAGTGAGCTGTGATCACACCACTGCACTCCAGCCTGGGTGACAGAGTGAGACCCTGTCTCAAAAAAAAAAGAAAAAGAAAAAGAAAAAAAGTCTGGAGCAGTGGCTCACATCTGTAATCCTAGTGCTCTGAAAGGCCAAGGTGAGCAGATTGCCTGAGGTTGCAGTGAGCCGAGATCACGTTCCTGCACTCCAGCCTGGGTGACAGAGCCAGACTCCGTCTCAAAAAATATATATACTTATATATGTATATTGCAACAGGTGGCTGTGTGTGTACTTTTGTGGCAGGCAGCAAACTGGGAGGTTACAGGAAACAGGCTGGAGGCCAAAGGGATTCCAAAAAATATCCAAAAGAGGGCTGGACCATCATGTAAAGGGAACCCTCAAATGTTGTTCCCGGGGTGCAAATAAAGTGAACCACTAGAGGGCAGAAAAGACTTAATGTATTAACAGTAACTGTTCAGCTACGGACCAAAAGCAAGACCAGAACATCCAAAATGTTACTTTCTTTGGAGTTCAAGACCAGCCTAGGCAACATAGGGAGACCCTATCTCTACAAAGAAATTTAAAAATTAGCTGGATGTGGTGGCGCATGCCTGTGGTCCCAGCTACTGGGGAGGCTGAGGTGGGAGGATCGCTTGAGCCCTGGAGGTTGAGGTTGCAGTGAGCTGTGATCGTGCCATTGTACTCTAGCCTGGGTGACAGAGTGAGACCCTGACTTTAAAAATCTCGGCCGGGCGCGGTGGCTCAAGCCTGTAACCCCAGCACTTTGGGAGGCCGAGGCGGGCGGATGACGAGGTCAGGAGATTGAGACCATCCTGGCTAACAGGGGAATGGCGT